GTCCCAGTTCCTGCATCCTCAGGCCACCGCGCAAGTTGAGCTTTACGGCGAATGAGAGAGTTCCGGCGACCGACCAGCCCCTTCCCCGCTCCCACCTCGACCTGCATTAGCTGGCGAGGCGATGTTCTAGCAGTAGGTCAGGACCACCTCGCGACAGCACAGTGTAGTGTATCTCGGGCAGAAATACGACAATCCGTCATGCGTCCGACAGAAAGAGTAGCGACGCGTTCAGACAAACACGTCATGGGGTTGGAACTGACTTGCGCGTCTCCTTGCGCTGCATCTACGTCGTTTCGGCGCGCTTTCTCCTCGTCTCGCCTTTCGTCCACTCCAAGCCCCCGCACCCCCTCACGTACTCAAATCTCGGCTCTCTCCGCCGTCCGTCGTCCAAATCGCGAGTTCAGATTCCTTTGTCGAGAAGCCGCCAGCTTTTCTGCTCGCGCAAAGCGCGTGCGACGAGACACTCCCTCCGCAGTGCGAAGGCGACGAGCCTACGTGCACTCATGGTGCTCATCTGCCTAGATGCAGCACAGTAGGAAGTACGAGCACGAGCATTATCGTAACCCTGTCTCACATTCTGAAGCTGCCTACATGAATTGCCCATCTGCGACGCTCGGTGTGACGAAGAGTGGCGAAATGATGCCAATGTCGCATGGGGAGAGACGGAATGTCACTGCGATGGATGCGATCGCAGCGAGCTGTTACACCACCGACAGCGATGACGCTCGTCCGCCGCGACTCCAAGAATTTGTTGCCGCAAGCCCGCCGATGCGACGGGTCGCTTGCAGGAGAACGGCGAATGCGGGGCGGGCGCGGCAGTACATGGCGCGATGGACGCCTGAGGTGAGCACTCGTCCCATCCCCACCGGAATACGCCACGATTTTCAGTTATTGCCATCGTGCTTTCACCTTTCTCTCCCCCATCACCTCGTCCCTTTCCCCCTTGTCTCAATTCTTCATCTTTCTATTCCCCCGCTTCCGCCCTGTGCGCGCAGGAGGACGCGGTGCTATTGGAGCACGTGATGGCGCCTCCCCTTTGTCTTCCCCTAGACTCGAACTCAATTCTTCCCCCTCCCGCTCCCCCCTCCTTGCGCGTGGCCAGGAGGACGCGGTGCTATTGGAGCACGTGATGCTTCCTTTTCCCCCCTCGTCTCAACTCTTCCCCCTCCCCTCCTCCCCCCCCACCCTGTGCGCGCAGGAGGACGCGATTCTGTTGGAGCACGTGATGGCGCACGGCACGGCGGAGTGGGGGCAGCTCAGGGCGAGCGGCCGGCTGCCGCTGCGCGACAACAAGGCGTGCTGCAACCGCTTCCTGCTGCTTAAGAGGTTTGCCACTGCCGCTTCCTGCTGCTTAAGAGGTATACCAATGATGCTCCCTACTCCTTAAATGGCATGCTACAGCCGCTTCCTGCTGCTCAAGAGGTACGCTACAGCCGCTTCCTGCTGCTGCTCCCCCTCGCCGCCACCCCTCTTCCATGCCTTGCGCCTCACCTTTCCCCCCTCACGCGCGCCACAACTTCCCCCTCCCCCTCCCCGCCCCCCCCCACCCACCCCCCACCCCCCCTGCGCCTCGCAGGAAGTTCCTGCAGCACGAGCAGCAGCACGAGCCACAGCCGGAATTTCCCTCCTTCCGCCGCCCCCACCACCCTCCGCACCCCAGCGGTCTCCCCTGCGGCCTGCAACCGCGTGACACCGCACTGCACTCCTCACCGTGGCACCTCGTGGGGACCGTACCAGCAGGGGTCCGCCTGGGGGCGTCCGTTAATGCATTCGTGAAAACGTTTGACACGCCTGATGCGATTCCTGTGACTGACATGGCATGGCAGAGCGACTTGCTGCATGCGACAGCACCGCGGCAGCAGCAGGCCCATCCGCGCCTGCTTGAGCAGTCGGTCGCGCGCCGCACAGTGATGGCGGACGACTGGCAGGGGTGCGAGAGGCAGGAGGCTAATGCAGCGTGGCATGGCATGATGGACCCCTGGCTTGAGAACGCTCTGATGGGCCCAAGTGTGCGCTCTGATGTGGTGGGATTCGACTGTGTGAGTGAGAGGAAACGTGTCAAGACTGCAGTGGCTGATTGCGGTGCACAGCAAGACCGCGAACAGTGTCGTGCGATGATGCTGCAGCTGCAGCTGCTGCACCAACCGCTGCCGCAGCACCGGCAGCAGCAGCAGACACAGCAACAGCATAGCTCCATGCAATTTGGACGGTGCAGCGATCAGAGTGTGAACGCAAGCACCAGTTCCTCCCCTCCCCTGTCCTCCTGGGGCGATGTGTCTACTACCCCCTTCGCCAGTTCCTCAGCTACAGTGCCCTCCGCCTTGAATCACACGGCTTCTCCCACTTCGTCTCTTGCCTCACCCCCTCCCATCCCTACCACGAGTGACGCCACTGCCGCTCAGCCTGCCGCCCACACAGGCCGGCTGTGTGCCGCCCAGCTCCACGTCCCGAGTGCCTTGTCTCCGTCCTCTCCGTTCTCTATGCTACTGGATCCCCTGCCTCCCCTCCCTCCCCTCTCGCCTCTGCCCCCTCTCCCTCCCTTGCCCCTTTCGCCTGGCTCTGAGCTCCCTGCAACCACTGCTCCTTCCCCACGCCACTGCGATAACACCGCTGCTCCTCCTCCTTCGGCCCCCCTTCATGGCCCTCCTGCTGCTCCTGCCGCTCCTGCCACGTCTGCTTCCATCCCATCTCCTCTTGCGGGTGCTGATGCAGTCACGAGTGTGGGGGCGGGCGCACTTGAGGGGCAGCGGGAGGCGGATCTGGACAGGTGGATTCTGGAGCAGGTGGGGCTCATGGCGGGGGGTCAGGGGGTCTGAGCAGCCTGTTTGGGATTGAGTGTGAGAGCAGGTGATGGGGGACGAGCACAGGTGGCGGGGGCAGGAGGGCAACACGAAAGGGCGTGATTGTGGTCGGGTAGGAGAGGCAAGCGGGTGGCGAGGTGGGGAATGCGAGGTCGTATCATAATGCGGCACAAGGAAGGATACGGCAAGAACTGAGGGGTGGAATGGCGTTAGGATTTGAAATGATTTGCTTAGAAGGCTCTGTTTACCTATAGTATGGTTAGACATTCATGGTTGTACATGTTGGGATGCTTAAACTAGCGTGTTCTGATCCGGATTATTCTCCAAATTGTTTACCTTGCACTCTTGGTGGTGCACCCCCGTGTGGTGCGCATGTGCGCTAACGCATGCATAGCTGCTGATACCCACTCATAAAGAAGGCGTTGATGGCTTTCACAACGCTGGCATTCTTCTCGTGCAAGATGGCATCGGCTTAAGAATAAATTGACTGATACTCGAATGAAAGGATGCTCCAGGAACACTCAGCCTGCATCAGGACATTATGTCAGCCTGGCTAGTGGTGTGGTCAGCCTCGCGTCCGTGGACGATTGTGCATTGTGGAAAGCTGTTTCAAGGTTTTCCAATATCAACGTGTTTATTCCAATTTTGCTGATTGTTCTACGTAGATAGACACTCACTTCAGTATACCTGTATCGTAAATGGTGGCGAGAGTGTAATGAATATCGTGTGTGCGTGGTCCTTCAGACCACTTTCTCGATCAATCCAATCGAAACGTGTCTTCCTGGCTGGATTGCTTGGCGGGCGGTACAGTTGCGGATATTCGTTTGTTCCGTCCTGGAGGTGCGAACAATGGTTGGAGGAGCAACACTGTGATGACCAATGGGTGCGTCTTATTGTCATCTGCCGATGCCGATTGGTCGACACTGCCCACACGGGTAAAACCAATACGCATCGAGTGCTTGTCCCACGGTATTTGGCAATCACGAGAGCTGCCCAGTTTGTAGAGCACACACTGCATTCATAAAATTGCTGCAAGACTTGAGATGAAAATAGGAAGTTTAGTCACCCAAAACTTTCACCAGGTCAGGGGAGCAAGCTTTTTGAACTTGTCACTCGCACTGTTTACAAGTGGATATTTGCCAAGTGGACCCATTCTTACCCTCAATCCAATGATGGTGGAAAGGCCAGACTGAAGGCATGTGACCACGTCACACTGATCTCCATCCGCGCTGGCAAAGGGCGCGTGTGTGAGATGTCCACCGTCACTTCGCGAAGGAATTCACCTTTCGAAGCGCCGATTTCCACGCCTGACCCGTGTGTGCCGCGCATTTTCACATGCACCACAAAATTCCGTCCTCCAAAATCCGTCAAGTTCCTTGCCCTCATCCCACGCTCAGAAATTGATGGTCCTCAGCACCCCAGCTGGAGCTGACTGCTCGCGCGTGTGCCTCAAGTCCACAGCACGCAAAGGGCATTTGCGAGACCTTTTGAACAAGCAGACCAAGGAACGGAGTGAGCAAGCGCAGCAGCCGCACGCACCACCACAAATGCACAGTGCGGATTCCTCGAGCAATATTTGATGTTTTCCAAAGACGGTGGTTCTCGCGTCACCCCTCATCGTGTGTACGTGGTTCTCGCGTCACCCCTCATCGTGTGTACGTGCAAGGAATCACAATGAGCCTGTTGATGTCGCCGAGCCCGCCAGTACTAGCGGCGTCGCGCAAGCGATTGCGACATCGCGGCGACGGGAGAGAGCTGGCCGTCGAATGTGACCTTTACGCGAAGAGGCCGAACCTCCTGTGCGGCTCGGCGCTGAACCAAAGCGGCAAGGAAATCGGCGTTCCCGGCGATGCGATTCACGCTTGGCTGAGCGCACCGGGGGCGCCGCGCGATGCGGAAGGAGCACCGTGGGAAGCGGAAGGGGCGAAGAGGGGCGCGAATGCAGCGCCATGGGCAGTGCCTCCGAAAGCTCCTAAGGGGATGCGTATGGCGCACAGCAACCGCTGGTGGACCCCTGAGGTACACTCCACGCTGTCACGTGACGTTACTACACGTACCTCCACGTGACGTGTCCGTCACCCCTCGCCCAACCGCCCCATCATTTCCCTACCTCTTCCCATATTCTCTCTCACTCCACTTTCATTCCTCCCACCCTCTCGTAACCCACTCTCTTTCCATTCCTGGGTGTTCCCAACCCACATGGCTGGATGGCTCGCACGTGGCGCGTGGCACGTGGAGCAGGAGGACGAGGTGCTGCTGCAGCACGTGTGCGTGCACGGCACACGCAACTGGAGCAAGCTGCGCGCCTCGGGGCTGCTGCCGCCACACCGGGACAACAAGGCGTGCTGCAACCGCTTCATCCTCCTTAAAAGGTGACTCGAGCAGCACGAGTGATGGGGCAGTGACTCATTCCGTGACAAGGTGACAGGGTCCCATGCCCGTGGAAGCCATGAGAGGCATTCTCCATGCCAGGCTGGACATCTTTGTGTTCTGCACCCTGTGAGGGAAAGAGACGGTCCGATCCAGTCACAATCTCTGTGTTTCCCTCAACCCATTTGAGACGATCCCTAACCGCTCGCTCTCCCCTGTCTGCTCTTCTCCCCATTCTTGTCCCCCTCCCTCTCCGTCCTCTGATCAGGCGGTTTCTAGAGACACAAGGCGTGGGCGTGAGCACCACCATCAGCAGCAGCGGTGCGGCCAGCCTTGCAGCCACAGCTGAGGCGTGGGGCTCCTCTTCCTTAGCTGCCACTCCCCACTCTCCCCCACCTCCTCCCCTTCTCCCTCCACCCCCTTCTCCTCCGCCTCCTGCTTTGGCGGCTGCTGCAGCGGCAGCACCACCAGTGCACGTGGCAGCGTGGGTGGGATGGGAGCTGGCAGCAGCGCTACTCAATGATGACAACGAAAACGATGCCGTTGGCCCTGCCACTGACGCTGCTGCCCTTCAAGACAGCCCACCAGTGGTGGGTGCGGGCGAGTTAGAGTGGAGTGCGGGCGAGTTAGAGTGGAGTGCGGGCGACGCAGCATCAGCCTTGACAGATCCGTTCAGCCTCTCGTGGGATGCCACAGATGCACCCCCCTCCACTGCCCTCACCACACACTCCCTCGCCTCCGAATCACCCCCGCTCCCTCTCTCCTTCCACCCCTCCTCGTCACCAGGCTCCTTCCTCACCCGCCCATCCTCTATCCCCGCCCATGTCCACAGCCTCGTCACCAAACCTCCCAGCCTCGTCACCGGCCCTCACAGTGTCGTAACCGACCCTCACGTCGTCACCGACCCTCGAGCTCTCACCGATCCTCAAGTCGTCACCGATCCTCAAGTCGTCACCGATCCTCAAGTCGTCACCGATCCTCAAGTCGTCACCGATCCTCAAGTCGTCACCGATCCTCAAGTCGTCACCGATCCTCAAGTCGTCACCGATCCTCAAGTCGTCACCGTTCCTCAAGTCGTCACCAACCCTCAAGTCGTCACCGATCCTCACGGTCTCATCACTGAACCTCACTGTCTCACCACCAAACCTCACGGTCTCATCACCGAACCTCACGGTCTCATCACCGAACCTCATGGTCTCATCACCGATCCCCATTGCATGCTGCCACTCCCCCTGTTTCATCGCGCCCTCCCCTGCGCCCCTGCATCCTGCTCCTCCCGTGGGCTGCCATCTCCCTTCACCCCGCTGGCTGCTGCTCCCCTCCAAGACGTCACCAACTCGCCCTTCTGCTGCCCACCCTGCCTGCCTCCTGCAATGCTCTCTGCCAACCCCTCCGCCTGCCTGCCCATCGCCGCCTCCTCACACCCCTCCTCCTCCCCCGCCTCGCTCCCTCGCCCGCCACACGCCACTCGCCCCGCGTCCGCGCCTGGCCTTCGGCGCGCACCGCAACGCTCCTACTCGCACTCACACGCGCTGCCCGCCCTGCCCTCCCCGCCCTCCCTCCTCAAGTCCGTCAGCTCCAGCGCCCTGCCGCTGCCCGTGTGCTCCCCTGCCCCGCCCCCGGCCCTGGCGGCCACTGCCACAGCCCTGCTCATGCCACCTGCATCGCCCCAGCACCAGCGGCTTTGGCCCTCACAGCGACCCCACATGGCGGCGTCACGACAGGCGACTATAAATGGATGGCAGGCGGCCACTCCCACTGCCCCCCCCTCCACCACCCACGTGCGCTCCCCTGCTGCGCCCGCCACTCCTCTCTCCCGCCCGCACGGCAGCGCAGCAGCAGCGGGAGGGAGACGGGGGGCGCGGAGGCGGGTGTGGGCGGGGAAGCAGGGGGGGGCGATGGGCGAGGGGCAGCAGAGGGCGGCGTTCATCGACAGCATGGCGCGCTACCTGGGGCTGCCCTCCCCACCTGCCCTCACCCCTGCTGCTGCCTGCACTGCGCCCCCCACCGCCAGTGCTGCTGCTGCTGCGGGTGCTGGTGGTGCTAGTGGTGGAGGTGGTGGGGGGTATGTGGTGGAAGCAGTAGGGAGGTAAGGTGAGGTGAGGACAAAAGAGTGCGCGGTCAGGTGAGCATGTCGTAACACCCTGCCAACTCAGCACCCTGCCAACTCAGCACCCTGCCAACTCAGCACCCGGACAACTCAGCTCCCCCACAACTCAGCACCCTGACAACTCAGCACCATGCCACCTCAGCACCCTGGCCTGCCCCTCGCATGCCACATAGTATATGGTTTGCCTAGTCCGATACAGTGTCTGCATGTGATTAGTATCCTATACATGATGTATTGCTGTATTTATGAATGCTATGTACCAATATACTAATGTATACTCGAATGTACAAGATTCTAAAGAAACCCCAATTCGTGAGGCAGCAGGCAGGCATGTGAAAATAGATCCCTACCATGGGCAACCACACTTGCACTCATTGCTCACTGCACCCCCACCACTTCCATGCCCTTATGTCACAACCATCACTCCCTAGTTCCCAACCCATCACAGTCCCGATCACAACCACGCTGGTACCACTACAATCACCATGGGAATGCAAGAGCGTGAGCATGAGCTTGGGCGTGGGGGAAGAGCAAGAGCATGAGCATCACATGTCACACTCTCGTGCGCCCCACACATTCTCCCCTTGAGGCAAGCGCCAGTCATCTGCCCCCGGCTCACACGACACGCGCCACACCACCTCTGCCAGCGCCGCACTCACCTCCGCTTCCCCACCGCCCTTCTCCTTGCCACCACCACTTGCAGCGGCAGCATCACCCACCGCGGCACCAGCAGCAGGACCAGCACCAGCAGCACCAGCAGCAGCATGAGGGGCAGGAGGGGCGGAGGCGAAGGCAGCGCGGGTGAGGGAGGAGAGGAGGGGTTGGAAGGCGGCGTGTGTGCGCGGCTCCCTTGCCAGACACAGTAGCATTGCTGCTGCCCGCCGCACCACTCGCTGTAATGGGTGCGGTGCGGTTACCAGCGCAAGCAGGCGCGGGAGAAGACTGTGGGAGGAGAAAGGGGGGTGGGGGGGGGAGGAAGGGAGGTGGGGGGAGGGAAACGGGGGTGGGGGGGGAGGAAGGGGGGTGGGGAGGAAGGAAGGGGGGTGGGGGGGAAGGAAGGGGGGTGGGGGGGGAGGAAAGGGGGTGAAGGGGAGGATCTGAGACAGGTGCGAGGGTTGAAAGATCGGGAGGAAGATTGCACTCTGCGACACTCACTGGAGCTGTACAGGCAGCACACGGCAGCACACGGCAGCACACCGCAGCACACCGCAGCACAGGGCAGCAGAGGGCAGCACACAGCAGCGCTCGGGCCTGCACACATAGCAGCACTCACTGTGGCTCGCGGGCGAGGCTGTACTTGGCAGCGGGGGAGGCGTGTGCGGCGAGGGCGACGCAGGAGAGCGCAGTGGCCTGCACGTGGGGGTCAGCAGAGGCCAGCAGCAGCGCCACCTGCCGGTACACCTGTGAGCAAGACGACGTGATCAGGTGCAGTGAGTGTGTGTGTGTGTGTGTGTGTGTGTGTGTGTGTGTGTGTGTGTGTGTGTGTGTGTGTGTGTGTGTGTGTGTGTGAGGAGGGGCGCAAGGAAGATGGAGGGTGGGAAAGGAAGAGGATATGTTTGTTGGGAGGGCAGGGAGGAGGAATGCGGTGTGTGTTGGTTTGGGCGTGTGAAAGGAGTCTGGAAGGGCGGGGTGTCATTCCACATGTTGAAAAAAGAAAGAAGGTCTCAGCCAAACCCCTTCCCCTCACCACACACCCCATCCCTCCACCACACACCCCATCCCTGCACCACACACCCCATCCCCGCACCACCACACACCCCATACCCCCACCACCACACACCCCATCCCCCCACCACACACCCCATCCCCCCACCACACACCCCATCCCCACACCACCACACACCCCATACCCCACCGCACACCCCATACCCCCCCCCACACCCCATACCCCACGGCACACCCCACAAACCCCAGCACACCTGCAGGGAGCCAGCGGCGGGCAGCAGCAAGAGGTCATTGTCGCGGCACAGCAGCAGGTGCGCCCACGCCTCCACCACACCACACCCCACGCCTCAATCACACACCCCATACCCTCCACCACAGTCCATTCCCCCCCACCACTCCCCACCATACTACTATCAAGCACACCTGCAGGGGCCCGGCGGCGGGGAGCAGCAGCAGGTCGTTATCGCGGCACAGCAGCAGGCGCCCCCACGCCTCTGCTGCTGCCGCCTGCCACGCCACCACGGGGCCCTGCAGCAGCGCCGCCAGCGCCCCCAGCACCCTCTCCACACTGCATTGGTGGGATGAGTGGGACAGAGGGGATGAGATGTTGAAAGGATGAGGAATAAGGGAGAAGTGAAGGGAATAAGAAGTGACTAGGAAACAAGCAGAAGAGAAAAAGAAAGAGGGGAAGAGGAGACGAGAAGGGGTGAAAATAGACAAGAGGAGAAGCAACGAGAAAAAGGAGAAGGGGAAAATATAGTCGTTGCCGTAGACTGAGAACAGCAAATGTTGCACTCACCTCATTACTCCACGACACCCTTCGCCCCCAGCAGCAGCATCAGCGCCACCATCCGCACCACTCCCAGAAGCCCCCACTGCCATGCCATGCGGGCCCGTGTCCCCCCCGGGGTGCGCCGCTGCGGAGCGAGTGAGAGAGGCGGGCAGGGCAGGTGCTGCTGATGAGAGCGTCGCTGGCAGCGCAGAGGAGAGGGGGGTGGCGGAGGAGGGGAGGGGCGGTTGGTGGGCGGGGTAGGAGGAGAGGTCGATGGCGGCTGCGATGTTGGCGAACGTGTCGACTGCATTGCTCACCACCTCCTCGTCCTCTGCCCCGTGACGGCGGTGACCAGGGGGAAAGGGAAGCGTAGGGGGGTGCAGGGAAGCGCAGAGCGGCGCAGGGGGTGCACGGGGAAGCAGGGGGGAGCAGCGGAGGAACAAGGGGAGGCAGGAGTGTAAAGGCAGGGGAGATAGAGAGAAGCGACGACCTGGCATCCGCCCTCCTTCCTCCTCCTCCTCCCGCTCTCCTCAGCCTGCTCCACCCTGGCAGGAGACAAAGAGAGCACCAATGCAACGCAAGAGGGGCCTCCCTCCCCTCCCTCCGCTGCTGCTTGCACACAACTCTCTGCTCCAATCCTGAAACCCGAATGCCCACACACGTGCGGAACCCTCTCCCCAGCACGGCAGCTCACCGCGTTGAAAGTCCTCCAGGGCGCCCACGAGCATGGCCACACACGCGGGCAGGGCGGCCATGGCGGAGGCGCAGTGCGGCAGGAAGGAGAGGTTGCGCAGCACACTGCTCGCCGCCACTGCACACTGCACCCGCTCCCCCGCACTGCTGCCCCCGCCCCTGCCTCCCCCGGTGCTGCTGGCGCTGCTGCTGTGGTTGAAGAGTGCCCGCTCCGCCCACCACACCTCCCGCTCCTCTGCACTCAGCCCCGCCTCCCCGCAACCCCCGTCCCCCACCTCGTCCCCTTCCGCCTTCCCCCCCACCCCCACTCCCGCCACGACTCCCCCATCCTCCCCCCTCCCTCCGCCCGCCTCCCCACCTGCTTCCCCCCCGCGCGACTCTACCCCGCCTCCCCTGTGCCCGCGCCCATACGCGCTCATACCGCCAGCGCCAGCAGCAGCGGAGGCAAGAGGGTCGTCCGCGGATGGCGGGTGCAGGGCGGAGATGGGGCGCGCAGGCAGGGGCGGACCCGCGGAGTGCGGGAAGTAGGTGCTGAGGGGGTGGCAGGGGGGCATGACAAGGGGGGTGCGCAGGGGGGAACGGGTTGGAGGGATGGGAGCGAGAAGTGCTGCAGGGGAGGGGAGGGGCTGCGTAAAAGGGCAGCACGAGAGGCGGGGGAGTGAGACAGATGAAAGAGGTTGTTGCGAAGGGGGGGGTGTTGGGGGCAGAGAGGGTTAGCTAACCACTCTTCAATCCACGGCCCATGATGCATGGTCCAAAAACCACAGCCCACAATCCTAATCATGCTTTACCGAATGCGCTCCCCTAGGGGGTCATGCAGCACGCGCGAGAGCCGCCCCGATCCGCTGCTCCTGCTGCCGCCACCGCCCCTCCCAGGGGGTTCACTGTCGGCTGGGCCGCCGCCCTCGGGCCCTCCTCTCATGGCTCGCCACGTGGCAGCGTCAGTTATTTCGAGCGAGCAGGCGCGCCACGACGCCACCTGAGGAGTTTCGAAAGGAGTGGCAAGGCGGGTGGCGGTAAAGCGGGAAAGAGGGCGGCGGAGAAGAAAGGTGGGGGGGGGCAAATGGGAGGTTGCGGGTGTGGGGTGGAGAATTGGGTGGCGGAGAGCAGCACATGTGAGTGAACGAAGCGAAGGGACGAGAACGGATGTAGGCAGACACGACGATCGGCTAGGTGGGGTGCAAAGCGGTGATGAGGCGTGCAAGACCAGTACCACTGATACTAAGGCTGAAAGCAGTTGTGGCGCCTTGCTGAGCGGGCCAGCCCCCTGCTGCCACGTGTCCTTGAGAGAGAAGCTGATCAGCTGCAGCGCGTTGAGCGCCCACACCACCTCGCTCGTGACGCCCGCCTCCACCGCCATCGCCAGCTGGCGCGCTCTGAAGTCTGGTGCCACGTCAGCATCAGATGGGAAGACGGAAACGAGATGGTTGGTTCGCCTGTGTGGCGCTACGGCGATCCAACGACGAAGCTTTATGGTCATGCGGGCACGCGGTCATGCGAGCATGCGTGGAAATTGGTCAGCAAATGAAAGGCTGACTCGATCCGATCGTTAGCGTGACGGAGCGGTCGAAATAAAAGAAGGTACTGCGGCTCGGATCTACACCTGGACTCATATCCCACCCCCTACTACTCATACTACTAGGAAGCGGGACTTGGGAAGAGAGGTGAGAGGGAGAGGCGGAGGGAGGCGCGACCTGTGAGGCCGGCGCGGACTTGGAACAACGGGCCGGCGCTGCTGGGAATTGGCGGGAGAACTAACGACACCGGCTTCTCCTCCCGCTCCTTCCGCTTCGCCTTCTTCGCGCCGTCTTTCCCGCCTCCCGCGACGCGCAGCGAGGCGCGTCGAGCCGGTCGCTCGCTGTCATCGGCCTCTTCGGCGGATCGCCCGCGCGTTGCGCGAGCGTCGCTGAGGGTCTTCCTCCGCTTGTACCTCACCCCCGCGCGCGCCGCATCTGGCGTGCCGCTGCGCTTCTCGTTGTGGCTGGGTGTCCGTTGCGCTGGCTGCGCGCCGGTGGAGCTTCGGCGCTGCGACCGCTGAACCGATCGAAGCGTCATCGCCGCCCTGAAAGTGCGCTAGTTGCTTCACAGGCTTGCTGCGACGAACTGGTCAAGCGAGGGGCCCAGCTCGAGTGCACAAAAGCCAAGGCGATAGCCTAGTTTATGTAGGTTCAAAACAGGAAAGCAAAAAAGATCGAATGGCGAAGCTTGTGCTCGTAGCGAAGCGGAGCGAAACCCGAGGCAGAGATCCCGTAACGAGTAGAGACAGATGGATCAAACCGTTTTACGATTTTGGTGCAGTAGGCAAAACATTATTGGAAGGAACTAATGTTCCTGACCAGGGGCATTTTTAAAGGGTGAAATACCCTGATTCCCCTTTCTAAAATCCATTTCTTTATGATTATCCTGATTCTAAAAGGGTGGGTGATTTTGTACTCTTTCTTCAAAAGTGTGGAGTTTTTTCTACCCTGTCGAAATCAGTGTGCGCTGATTCTTACCCTTACGCGTCAGAGTACCCTCGCCACTCCCAGCCCCACTCTCCCCCATTCCCTCACTTCCCCGAGCCGCCGAGCCCCATTTTCCGTATCCCTCGCCACTCCCCGCTTACCCCCCCCCGTTTCTCTCGCATCTCCCAGCCCCTCCCCACAATTCCCTCTCCACTCCCAGCCCCAATTCCCCCATTTCCATTACAAATCAGGGTGCTTAAAAGTTTACCTTGATTTTGACAGGGTGGGAGAAAAACTACCCTGACAGGCAGGGTGACGTCATCAAAGCACCCTGATTCCCAAGAGCCCCAAAAGCGAAAATAGGCCGTTGAGTTGGCTTGAGGTCAGTATGCAGTGATCTTCCAACCACAGCAGGTCCCCTTATCACCCGCCTAATATGAAGGTTATGAAGGTTATATTAAGGTCGTGACCTGTTACAAACATGCATAGAGCAAGCAGGGAATATGGTCAAAGGACCAACAGCCTATAAGGAGTACATCACAACACGTTAGGGCGCGTGAGGTCTTCGAAATCTGTAAAAGTTTATGTTTTTAGGGCGATTTTTAGTTTCGAACTTACAACGAAAGAAGTTGGAATTTCCTTCTATCGAAGTTCGAACATCGGGCTTACCACACTGTAAAAAATCACACACACATACAAGGTCGAACCCCGACATTCGAACTTGTAAAAACGAGCCGAGCCGCACGTCAACATCATAGGTTACCCGGTTCGCTCGTCTTGACGGTGCGCCACGTCAACATTTTGCGCCTCGGTTTACAAGGACCTAGAGCTCCAACTCACCTTCCGCGCCGAGTGTGTAGGGAAACTATACTCCAGGTCCATACTTTCAGATTTCTCTCAAATTTAGCCGCGGGTCGACTCAAAAATTACTACTTTCTAGAATTTCGCTCACACGAGGCCCAAAGTATGTTCAAAACTGGTCCTGCGGGGCGAAGTTTTCGACACGTGTCCAATTTCGCTTTGAAAAAAATTCGACGGGGCAAAAAATAATAAAACCCCTCGGGACCAGGGCTCACTTTATCAGAAATTTTTGGTCTGAATTTCTGGATTCTGAACACATTTTTACTGGTTCATCTGATACCGTAGACATGCTGTTTAATTTCGTCTGATTTTTTTAGAGAAGCTTTTTCTATTCATCTGATTTCTCAGACAGCCTTATACAGTATTAGAATGAGAACGAGAGAATGGTGTGAACTATGAATGAAGCGAGTACAAATATGAAACCCTAGTTGGGTTGTACCCCCTATGGGATACCCCACTATAGCCTACACAATAGCATGAGCTATAATGTTCTGACATACAGTTCATCTGAGATTGCAAATATCGAGTCTTTTTCGACTGAAGGCAAAAATCTCGAAAGTAGACTGCAAGATCCGATCTGAAAACCTTAGTTCTCACTGCTCGATACTCAACTGACTAAACCACTAGGCTATGCATAACTATTAATTTTTAATTTCTAAGTTAGAACTGCTTGCTAGTTTTATATCTAGGATTCGTCTGAAAAGCTAGACAAGGTTACAGTTTTCGCCTGACAATCAGACAAGGAGCCAGGACCCGGTCTTGACATCAGACGGGTCATTTTACTAAAGTTAGCCCTGCTCGGGACCTAGGGCACATTTGCGGGAGGGATCAACCCTAAACACCAAGCGGGTCCCCGTGTTTAGGGTTGGTCCCTCCCGAACGTGTGTCCTGGTTCCCCCAGGGGTTTTATGTTTTTTGCCCCCGTCAGAAATTGCTAATAAGAAACAGGACACGTGTCGAAAAGTTTGCCTCGCAGGACCAGTTTTGAACATAATCTGGGCCTCGCGTGAGCAAACTTCCAGAAAGTTGTACTTTTTTAGTGAAATTAAGACTAAATTTGAGATATTTTTGAAACTATGGAGCTGGGATATACTTTCCCGAGTGTGTAACCAGGGTACAAATAGCCCCCGTGGCAACACCTTGTATGCTGGACACGTGGCTACAACTGTGTGCACGAATTGTGGGGTGTCTTCGTTGTGCAACTTCATGCACTGGCGAAGCGCTCGCCCGTTTCGCCAGCTGTTTGGACGTTCTGCAAATCACATACGCTCGCATGAACATGAGCACGCACGTTCGCGCCTCCGACTCGAGTCAAGTTCATATTTCAAACTCGAACTTTTGCAGAGCCCATACAATGTGAAAATATTAGGTGTGGGGCCTAGGCTTAGTAGCCTAGGCCCACACTAGGAGATAGGTAAGTTCGAGTGGGTTAGGTGAGAGTCGAGAAATTGGAAGGGAAATGAAGTGACTAGCAAGAGTTGGGATACAAGTACATTGCCCTAAATTGGGTTGTACTCATTACAGAGTACCCCACTGCAGGCTAGACAGCAAATATATTCTGACACACCCCCATAGCCAAAGTGGGGTGAAATCAGCAGAGCAGGCAAAGCAGTACAAGCTCAGGGTGGATCACAATGTCACCACACATTCTGAGCACAAGTTCAAGAAGCAATAGTTAAAGTGCACAATTATCAGCAAAGCTAGTGGTGGTCACAACGGGCAGGTGAGGAGGAGGAGGGAGAGTGAGAGGAGAGGAGATGGGAGGCGACTGCTGAAGCTGCAGACACACGGGCAACAGGAGCGGCTGGCACAGTGGCTACCGGGACAGCGCCCCGGACTACTGGAGTAACTGGCTCGGCGGCTACGAAGAGCGGCAGGAGCAACGGACCCACGGGCGACAGGCGCAGCAGGCTCACTGGGCTACCAGGACAGCGCCCCGGACTACAGGTGCTGCGGACTACAAGACGGCAGCCTCCGCTAAACCTCCCACAAACAGTCCCACCCCCCTGACACACACCCGCTGCTACACCCCTAGCTCCACTCCCACGCACCCCCCTTAAACCCTAAACCCCAGTCTCCCACACAACCACCCCCCTCAGCGACAGCTGCAGCAGTGGGAGACGACGGAGGAGGAGAAGGAAGGGGCGACACAAACGGAGCACCCCCACACCCGCAAATGGGGGGGGGGGGGGGGGGGGGGGGGGACAGTGCGCACGAGGGCGCAGACAGTAGCAGAGCGCACGGGGGCGCGAGCACGAGACACGGGCAGCAACAGGCACGGGCAGCACAGGCACGGGCAGCACAGGCACAGGCAGCACAGGCACGGGCAGCAACAGGTACAGGCAGCACAGGCACGGGCAGCACAGGCACGGGCAGCACAGGCACGGGCAGCAACAGGCACGGGCAGCACAGGCACGGGCAGCAACAGGCACGGGCAGCTCAGGCACGGGCAGCACAGGCACGGGCAGCACAGGCACGGGCAGCACAGGCACGGGCAGCACAGGCACGCGCAGCAACAGGCACGGGCAGCAACAGGCACAGGCAGCACAGGCACGGGCAGCACAGGCACGGGCAGCACAGGCACGGGCAGCACAGGCACGGGCAGCAACAGGCACGCGCAGCACAGGCACGGGCAGCACAGGCACGGGCAGCACAGGCACGGGCAGCAACAGGCACGGGCAGCACAGGCACGGGCAGCACAGGCACGGGCAGCAACAGGTACAGGCAGCACAGGCACGGGCAGCACAGGCACGGGCAGCACAGACACGGGCAGCACAGGCATGGGCAGCACAGGCACGGGCAGCACAGGCACGGGCAGCATAGGCACGGGCAGCACAGGCACGGGCAGCACAGGCACGGGCAGCACAAGGCGTACCGGGTCCAGGGGCGGCTTCTGGGGTCCAGGGGCGGCACCTGCAGCTGGGCGGCGGTAGCTGCTGCGGCAGAGCGGCGGCGGCTGCTGCTGCTGATAGAGCGGCGGCTGCTGCTGCTGGGTCGGTGGCGGCAGCTGCTGCAGGTCTGGCGGCGGCTGCTGCTGCAGACTCTGGCGGCGGCTGCTGCTGTAGACTCTGGCGGCGGCTGCTGCTGCAGGCTCTGGCGGCGGCTGCTGCTGCAGGCTCAGGCGGCGGCTGCTGCTGCAGACCCTGGCGGCGGCTGCTGCAGCAGGCTCTGGCGGCGGCTGCTGCTGCAGACCCTGGCGGCGGCTGCTGCTGTAGGCCTGGCGGCGGCTGCTGCTGCAGGGCGGCGGCGGCTGCTGCTGCAGGAACTGACGGCGCCCCGCGGGTCCCGCATGGGGCGTCGCGACGAGCAGGGGCGACGCCCCGCGGGTCCCGCACGGACGTCGCGACGAGCAGGGGCGACGCCCCGCGGGTCCCGCACGGACGTCGCGACAAGTAGGGCGGCGCCGCGCGGGTCCCGCACGGACGTCGCGACGAGCAGGGGCGACGCCCCGCGGGTCCCGCATGGACGTCGCGACGAGCAGGGTGACGCCGCGCGGGTCCCGCACGGGCGTCGCGACGAGCAGCGGGGAGGGCAGCGCGCAGGCCCCCCGAGGGCGCATCGAAGGACGGGAAAACCGCCGCGCGCCCCGAGCGCACGGCGGGATGAAAAACTCCGAAATCCTAAAAAAAAATTCGCCGCGCGGAGCGCGCGGCAGGAAGAAGGACTGCAGCGGAAGCATAGGGGCCCACAGGCCAAGGTAGAACGGGCTCTGATAACATGTGAAAATATTAGGTGTGGGGCCTAGGCTTAGTAGCCTAGGCCCACACTAGGAGATAGGTAAGTTCGAGTGGGTTAGGTGAGAGTCGAGAAATTGGAAGGGAAATGAAGTGACTAGCAAGAGTTGGGATACAAGTACATTGCCCTAAATTGGGTTGTACTCATTACAGAGTACCCCACTGCAGGCTAGATAGCAAATATATTCTGACATACAATGCTTGGTTCGCGAAGCACCCTTCGCGAAATTAGCGAATAGGGTAACCACCCAAAGTTCGAACTTTATTTTGAACTTCTAAACAGACCACACGCGCCCTTATTCCCCTACCCCCGAGGGGATATCCCCCAACCGACGTGGGAGAGCGCTCTATGATGAGGGCAGTATCTATGGGGGACGGAAGGGGTTGCCAAGTAGCCACGATGCACGAAGAGCAGGATGGATGGAGGGGACACCTGAGGCGTCAAAACAAATAAAACGGAGGCGTATGGCGGTCCTAATCCGCCAGATAGATTTATATGATCAGCAGAACTTCACCTCTTTATCCTTACCCCCCCCCCCACACTCTTCTCATCCCCTCTCCCCACAACCCCACCTTCATCTTCTTGACCCTGGCCTCCTCCACCCCACACACAAACCCTTCTTCCCTCCCATCCCATCCATTCTCTCTCTCTACACACCAGAATACTTCTCTCCCCTCTGCAAGATGCCATTCCAGGTCCAATGGTGCCAGCATTCTATGCTGTGACTAAAGGTGCTACATTCGCAAGATTCTGGAACCCCCTGATTTGATGCCACCTCACTCATGTGCACAACATTCCGGTTTGCTCAATTTAACATAACAATATAGCATACAAAGTGATATGCAAGATAACCGGTAGCTAACAGTAGCTGGAGACGCTACCATGTCTCACTTATTGTATACACAGCCAACATACGTCAACCAACGCTTCCGCGGCCTTGCATGGCGGGGCGCAGGCCGGGGTAGTAGATGACGAGGTAGTAGCCGGACGGCTGCTCCATGTACGGCTTCACGTACGCATCGTACTGCGCCTCGGTGATGCCGTCGTACGACGCCGTGTGCTGTAGAGAGTGCCGACCCTTCATGAACGGCTTCAGCGGGTTGTACGGCGACTTGCTGCGCTGCCACCCCACCGTCTGGTACCCGCTGAACGCCTGCGAGCCGGCCGTGCCGGGCTTGCCGCGGAAGAGGCGGTAGTAGGGCGCAGCGCCCTTTGTGAACGCCTCGTTGAGATCGATCGACATCGTCTGCGTGTACGTGCCGTCCTCGCTGCGCGACGCGCGAATTAGAGGGAGGGACGCGAGGGTGAAACGGTAAGCAGCGTTTCGCGCACAGGGTTGAGGCTTGCCGCGTGGCACTCGGCGCTCTATTGAATGATTAGTTGAAAAGTGGGCGCGAACTGATGTTAAGTGGATGAGTAACGGGAAAGAAGACGCGCACACGGAGAGAGGACTAGCACTGACGAGAAGAGGACGAGTATAGACGAAAGGGGCGCGGCAGGGCGGGGGAGGCAGCTCACTTTTTGTAGACGCGCAGGCTGGCCTTGCCGCTGGAGATCACCTCCTTCTTGTTCCTCGAGTCCAGCTTGAATATCACCGAGCCTGCACGCACACATACCGCACCGTCAGTTAGTTTGGCGGCCGCTTGCACGAGCACGGGGAGATACGACGGAGAGCGGGCGCGGCGACGCGAAAAGGAAGTGAGGTGGTTCACTTACTGACTAGGTCAGCTGCAAGCGCTGGAGGAGTCAAGAGCGCGCCTGCGTGGAGTCACGGGGAATGGGATGGTGAGGAGCGCAAGGGATGCGGGTAAGCACGGGTGCGTAAACGCTGCATGGATAGCGCCTCTAAATTTTCGCGAGTGCAGTCGCAACATGTGAAGCGAGAGTTCTGTGCAATGCGCAACGTGAAAGGTGAGACCTTGAAGTGATGTTGGGCTCGTCGGGCCTTACATATTAGGGTGAGGAGAACTGCTATATGTGTGGTTCTCATGGTGGGGACGAATTAAGCGGCGTGTGTCGGTTCTAACACGTGCGCTCTCAGCTAGGTTGGTGACAGAAAGAAGTGATAAACTTCCGGGTGTTCGTCGGCACTGTGGGCTTAGTGCTCCTTAATCTTCAAGGTACATATGTACGGCCGAATTCAGATGAGGCAGTTCACTCCTGGTACTTTGAGAAGCTGCTGATATAGAAGCTGGTACCGACAGCGTCTAGCCACTACGTGAAAGCAGCAGTGGACTTGGGTCGGTGGAACATGAATGAGATGACAGAACAATGGCCGTCTTGCTGGTTGACTGGCGCGAGGGGAAGTCGTAATTTCGCCTCTGAATTGAAGGATGATGGAGCCGACAGAGAGGAGGTGGGTTCGATCGATTGGAATTTCCGTGCGTGCATTGCGATGGGGAATGCGCCAGCCACAATCCGCGCGTCGCCGTCGGAACCAAAATTTCGCGCACATGTCGGTAAGCGCGACTCATGGCACACCACGTCCGAGCACAGGGAATGACACGGCTGTTCCAAAATCAGAGGCTTTGCCACAATCACATTTCCACACGTTTGTTCATGGAGAGCCGTTGCACTTGGGAAGTTGGATTTTGCAACTCTGCAAACATATCGATCCGTGAATCCTATACAATGTTGAGAAACTCAGTGACGAACTTGTCAGAGAGCTTGACCTCTCCCAACCAATTGGGCTGATCCCCCTGCTTTTACCTCCCTTCCCGCTCGCTTCACTCTCTTTCCTTATTGTCGCAAGATCTACGATCACTCTGGCAACTTTTTCTTGGTTCTGCCTCGGCTGACTATTTTCATAATCCTGCACTCCTCCACATCTCGTACAACTAGATTCCCCATGAATCTACTAGCTGCGTCTGCCTTACAATAGCTGTCTAACGCGTTCCTGAAGAGCAAAGCGCGACTTGTTGCCGAATGCTTGGCAATCTTCACTAGCATAAGCGACTTCCGACGCTTGCTTCTCGCCTGTAGCGATCAGGCAAGATCCACAGAATGGCATGCTCTTCCAGATTCTGTGCATTCGGCATACTGCTGCTCCTGGGACTGATAGCAAGAGCGAATGCGTCCGTGCATACCTATAAGGGCAATCGCTTTTTCCACACGGCGGATGCTTTCCTTTTTCGCGGCGGACGGGAAGGACTCTTCTCGTCGACGCCTGAGGCGGTGGCTCACTGGACGACGATTGGCAAAGCCGTCGCCAATGGCAAGGCATACGTCAGGTGTGTGTGCGCTCAGTGCTCCCAGTGCTCCCAGTGCTCTCACGACCTTCCTGTCTCTGCTGATTCCCTCAAATTCGCGATGGCGACGAACGACCAAGCTGGACTCAGTGTTTGACAGCAATAACTAATTTGTTAATTGATTCGCTCAAAATGGCGACGAATGACAAGCTAGGTTAGTGTTGGACAACAATAACTAAATCTGCTGATTAATCTGAGGCTTTTAAGCAAGTGATTCATCTGGGATTGGCGGGGAGGTTTTTTAAGCACTGGTGGCGCGTAGAGTGAGGTGCGTTAAGGCCAGCCGACGCACTCTGTCGTGGGAACGCAGCCATTTTCTTCCACGTGCACCCCGCGCGCGCGTCGCCACTCGCGACTACTGGGGACTGCACGCTGGAAGGTGTCTGTCGCACCGTCGCGTGCTGTGCACTAAGCAGCACTTTAATTCGCCGGTCAATGCCGGCTTACCCGCAGATTTCGAAGCAGTTGACAGCTCTTTCTGCTCTCCCTGCTCTCCCTCCCCCGCGCGGATTCCAGCACCTCACCCTTCAGTAGTCGGCGAAAGGGACTGTCGCTACCCCTTGAATCTCATGCCAATGCGCATTTCCTCCTCCGCTGCGCTCCCCGTGCGATCCTCTCCCCACATCGGGTTCCAGCACCTTACCTTTTTTTTCCCCTCTGCAGTCTCATCTCCCATCAGCACTCTGCTCTCCCTGCTCTTTCTGCTCTCCTTGCCCACGCTGCTCGCCCTGCGCGCCCTCCCCCGCGCAGGTTCCAGCACCTCACCTTCCACCGCCCCATCTGGGAGGCGCGCGACGCGCCGGTGGCGGGGCAGACGGGGCTGATCGAGGCGCTGCTGTTCGAGGTGGGCGACCGCGCGCGCATCGGCCACACGTCGCCGACGGGCACGCGGTCGTTCTGCTGCACGCCGGAGCTCGTGCGCAAGACGGGGTGCAACCCCGGCCACCTCATCGTGCGCCCGCGCGACGACGACAGCAAGGTCAGCCGCGCGCCGTGCGGGGTGCGGAGGGCTGCAAGAGGGTGTTTGGTGAGGGTTGGGTGGAGGAAGCGCGGAGGGCATGAAGGGGTGAACTGCAATGGAGTCCCCTTGACCGTTGCTACAGTGCACCGCTTGCGAGTGTCCCTGCACCTAGCTTCGCTGCTCCGCCGTTAGCCCGTCACGGCGCACCCACCCCGCTCTCATTCCCGCTCGCCCTTCCGTTCTCCCTTTCCCCCACACGCCTCACTCCAATCGCGCGCTTTTGCCGGTGTGGTCTCGGGTCTGGTCTGGGCCGCCTCGCCGCCATCGCCGCAGTGGTCGCGCGTGGTGGACGTGAACGTTATGGGCAATGGCAATGGCAATGGCAATGACAGCGCCGTGGAGGCGCGCCCAACCCGCCCTCGTTCCCGCTTGCCCCTCCTCTCCCCCCCCCCTCCCAGTGGCCGCGCGTGGTGGAGATGCACTTGATGGGCAACGACAGCGCCGTGGAGGGTGCTGTGCTGCTGAGCCCAGTAAGGGGTGCGCATGCAAGTGGCGTCTCCTTCTCTCCTTGCCTCCTCGCCTCCTTGTCCCCCCCACGCAGTGGCCGCGCGTGGTGGAGATCAACTTCATGGGCAACGACAGCGCCGTGGAGGCAGCAGCTTCGGAGATGCACATAACGCGGACGGGCATGTACTACCTGTGGTTCGTCATCTGCGATAAGAACCTGGCCGAGGTGTCCGTCACGGGCGGCACCGTGTGGAAGAACCCCTCAGGCTACCTGCCCGGCATGATGACGCCCTACCTCAACTTCTTCGGCGCCATGTCCATCGTGAGCGCCGCTTATCCATTGCTAGTCCTCCCTTCCATCACGAGCCGAGCTGCTGAAATCACCCCACTGCTTGCAGCGGGTCCTGTCCCCGCTGCTCCTACTCGACCCCCCTCTCCCTCCTCTCTCCTCTCGAATCCTCCTTGACTCTCCTTCTCAACCTTCTGCCCTTCCCTCGTCCACACCACAACCCTCCCCTCTCCCCTTCCCCCTCACCCCCTCCCCCCAGGCGTACCTGCTGCTGGGCTTGCTGTGGCTGGTGCAGTACGCGCGGTTCTGGAGGGACGTGCTGCAGCTGCAGCACTGCATCACAGCGGTGCTGTTCCTGGCCATGGTGGAGATGGCGGCGTGGTACTTCGACTTCGTCAACTTCAACGCCTCGGGCTACCGCCCCATTGGCATCACGGTGTGGGCCGTCAGCGTGGGCGCCGTGCGCAAGGCCGTGTCGCGCGTGCTCATCCTCGTCGTCGCCATGGGCTTCGGTGTCGTGCGCCCCACCCTCGGGGGGCTCTCGGGCAAGGTGCGCTGGCGAGAGGGGGTGGGTGGGACGGGGTTGCTGTGCTGAACCTCGTGGTCGCCATGGGCTTTGGTGTCGTGCGCCGCACCTTGGGGTGGGGGGGATCTCAGGCAAGGTGCGCTGGTGGGGGGAGGGCGAAGGGAAGAGTGTCTGTGAATCACCGGCAAAGTGTGAAGCCAGTGGGGGGAGGGGTGTCCATTGTAGGTGTCATCAGAGGGTTCACATTGCCCTTTCACTCGCCCTCTACTGCTCTCCCACTCTCCTGCCTTCTGCTTCCTCTCTCCCTCAACCCTTCTCTCCCCGTCCGCATGCACATGCTCCCCCCTCCTTCGCCGGGCTTCACGTCCACAGGTGGTGGCACTGGGAGCGGCGTACCTGGTAGCGGCGGAGGGGCTGGACGTGATGCAGAACGTGGGCGCCATCGACGACCTCAGCAGCGGCGAGCGCGTCATCCTCGTGCTGCCCGTCGCCGTGCTGGACGCCGCCTTCATCCTCTGGATCTTCACCGCCCTCTCCAAGACGCTTGCACAGCTGCAGGTGCGTGCACGGTGCTGGTAGTGAGTGCGTGCATGGCTCGTGCGTGCATGGCAGTGTGTGTTGTGCTGGAGAGGGGAGTGGCCGTGCTGGACGCCGCCTTCATCCTCTGGGTCTTCACCGCCCTCTCCAAGACGCTCGCACAGCTTCAGGTGCGTGCACCGTGCCTGTGCCCGTGCCCGTGCCCGTGCCCGTGCCCGTGCCTGCAATGCATGTGTGCATGTGTGCCTGGGGTTATGGGCTGTGTGCGGTTGGAGGCGCTGTGTGGGTGGTACATGCTGGGTGTGTGGCTGTCATGGCATGGGGCGGGGAGGGAGCGGCTTCAAAGTGAGCGTGCAGGTTGCAGCATGGGCAGGCGCCCTGTTTCTTGGCCAGTTTGGATGGGGCTGGAACTGTCAGTGCTGATCCGCCCTTGTATGCGTTCCCCCGTGCCTCCCCCTGTGCACCCCCCGTTCCAACCTCCCCCTGTGCGCCCCGGCATGCATGGGTGCACGGCAGGCAAAGCGCACAACACACAAGCTGGAGCTGTACCGGCGCTTCACCAACATGCTCGCCCTCTCCGTCCTCATCTCTGTCGCCTGGATCGCCTATGAGGTGTGCCGCATGTATGCATGTGCAACATGCTCCTCATGTGCAACATGCTCCTCATGTGCAACATGCTCCTCATGTGCAACATGCTCCTCATGTGCAACATGCTCCTCACTGTGCAACATGCTCCTCATGTGCAACATGCTCCTCATGTGCAACATGCTCCTCACTGTGCAACATGCTCCTCATGTGCAACATGCTCCTCACTGTGCAACATGCTCCTCATGTGCAACATGCTCCTCATGTGCAACATGCTCCTCACTGTGCACACCTCTTCCTTCAATTCCTAGCCCTGCTCGTTTCAATGTACCCGCAGCCCATCCATGCAAGACCACGGTGGGTCCCTGCCTGCCCACTCTATGCTTCTCCCCTAAGCTTCCCCCTCTTGTGCACCCCTCGCCCCGGGCAGATCTTCTTCAAGGTGACGGATCCGTTCAACGAGCGGTGGCAGGCGGATTGGATCACGGGGTGCTTCTGGCACGTGCTCACCTTCGCCCTGCTCTGCATCATCTGCATCCTCTGGGCGCCCTCCCAGGCCTCCACCAGGTTGGCCTATGCCTCTTTGATGCTATTGCCGGTTGGTGATGTCCTTGGCGGTGTTCGCCAGCAACTCAGAAAACGACGGCATTTTGGTGGCATCGGCATGGTGACCGCATCCGGAACCGGGGTCGAAACCCGCCCAAGAGGTCTGGGCGTAATGCGGTCCGCGAAACTTCAATCCCCAAAACAGGAAATTTCACAACCGCATATGGAACCCCCAGCGCCACCTTCCTCATCTAGTGGCGCGAACTTTACGCGCCACTGACCAGTGCCAGACCGAGGGCCAAAAACGAACCAGGGTAACAAGCGCAAAAATAATTAAACAAACCAATCTCAAATACAACCCCCGAGACCCCTCGTACTCAATCCACTCACAAGGTGTGTTCGGGAGGGGAAAAATGGAGGGTATTCGAACCCCCCTTTGTCAAACAAATGGCTTGTTCAGAGGTTCCCCTCTGAACGGCTATGCGACGGCTGTGCCATCGCTGTGCTTCCAAAAACGCGGCATGGCGATGGCATGGCTTGGGGATAGAACTTTGCCTGAGGACGAAGTTGCTTCCCCGCTTCCATATGCCATCGAGCAGTTCGTTTTGGTGGACAAATGGGGGCGTTCGCCAGACACCCACTTTGATTGTACGTTCGGACGGTTGGGGAGGCTCGGCACCTTTTTTACGGGCTGACCAGGCTGACGGAGGTAAACGAACCCTAACTGACGGGATCAGGAAGGCGAGACCCACCTTCCTGATCCCATCATATCCCATGGTTTTTTGCTTCATTGGTGCTGGCGAACAGCACCCTTGTGTCAAGGCACAATAATTGCATGTTGGTCAGGCAGTCTGTCCTCCTGGTTCTTGTAGCCTTGTTCATTGATGTTCCATATGTGCACTTATTTTCTGTTTCTTCCCAGGTATGCTTATTCGGAGGATGCTCCCGATGAGGACGATGAAACGGTGGCGCTCACCAAGGCGGTTGCAACAGCAGCAGGCGAGGCAGAGGACGGAATGGAGGAAGATGAATTGGAGCAAGGAAAGCTGGAATAAGTGGGTGCAGAGCGTTTCATGAAAACAGCTAGTGCATTAAGGTGTTATTCTCAAATGACTAGAATAATAGCTTGTCAAAATGCAGAAAGGCGTATATATTTTAAGCTGTAGCTTTCACTCTACGTTCTACAAATGTTCTGCATGCTTATGGTATGTAAGAAGTGATTCGTGGCCTTTGTGACAGCTGTGTTGATTGGTAGCCTTGTTGTCTGAAGAAGTAGTCTCCTGATATTCATTTTCTATCTTTGTCGGGTCCGACGTAATCGAGGTTCAACTTAATTGTGTGCTTCGGGTGGTCTACCACCCGTGTTCCTTTCGCAGCAACCCTTTCTCCGTCGGGCTTGGCTTCGCCCCCCCCTGCCTCGCCCTTCGCGTCACCTCACCATCCCTCACCTCACCCGACCTCTCCATCCCGTCCCTTCCCCTTCTTCTTCCCTCACCTCCTTTCCCTCGCTCTTTTCCCTCCTCACGGAACACCCCTTGTTGTAGGAGACACCCCATACCTTCACCATGGTAAGCGCGCGATTAGGTTTCTTGGGCTACGTGGCGCCATGACCAGGCTATATATACTTTCGGGGAAATTCTAGGCGTTTTAGGGTACAGCTCGATCCGAGAATTCCTGGGGAAAGCGATAGGCAAGCCTAGTTGTGTGATCTGGTGGATTTCAGGGATTCACCTCGGAAGAGTTTCATCGTTCCAGTTTCGCTGTGCGCCATTTGCCAGACCACCAACCGCCGTTCTTCTCCATTCTCCGTCGTGTCGCATTTTGGGGTGCTCGTGTGTGTCTTGTTGGCTGCGCTTGCTGCTTGTGCGCGTGTGCGGGTGTGCTGTGCGTGCTGTGCGCGGAGCGGATGGTTTTCGTCCATGTGGACATGGTGTGTGGGATCCTGGACGGCTCTGCATGGTATGTGTTGTGCGGGGTGCATGCGGGTGTGCGTGTGGTGTGCTGCGGTGCATGCGGGTGTGCCTGTGGTGTGCTGCGGTGCGGATGGGCGTGCGTGCGGGTGAGGGTGGCAGGCGTCGGAGAAGAAGGCAAGCAACCCGATGCGGGAGATCAAGGTGCAGAAGCTCGTGCTCAACATTTGCGTCGGAGAGAGCGGCGATCGCCTCACGCGCGCTGCCAAGGTGGGATTAGCTTTCTTTCGCGCTGAGATCAGATGCCACTTGCGCTGCCAAAGTTGGATTGTTTTCCTCTCGCGCTCGGCCAAGGTTGGGTTAGGTGCGTCACGCCCGCTCGTGCGCTGCTACCCGGCGGGGTCAACCAGCATTTTACTCCTCGCAGCCTGCCTACTGTTGTGTCAATCCGTCTTCGCGAATCGCCTCTTGCAATCAGCCTCGCGCGCCTCGCTGCGGTGTGCGCAACTCACGGACTGCAGTGGCGCCTTAAGCTGGCCTCGGTAGTTCGCCTCGCGTAGCGTGTTCTGCCACCTTTCGAACCGCGAAGCAGACAGTAATGCATATCGTGGCTGCGGCGAGACGTCAACTCGCCGTACCGCGCAGACTGGACTGTTTGCAGCATAAGCTCTAGCCCGTTGGTACCGATGAGTGGGGGGAACCCGTTGAGGTGGTTGTAGATGCACTTGGGCCTCGATTGTTGCTGCCCGGCTGCGAGTCCGTTTGAACGAGGGGAGCAGGTCGATTGACAGGGCGATGGAGCAGGTGAAAAGAAGCAGGTCCAGGAGGGATTCGTTTGCTCGGCGAGGCGGTGCAGGCGGGAGGAGCGACAGATGCGGTAGAAAGGCTATGGCACTGAGGGGAAGCAGTCGAACCTGAGGGAAAGTGTATGTACCCGAGGGAATGCAAACTAGACGGAGTTGGGGCATACAAAGGGAAGTGGCGACGGATACTGTTGAATACAGGAATATCGCGAGCGGGCGTTAACTATTGAGCAGTGTTCTGCCCGCTCGAGCGATTTCGGGTTTTGGTCGATTTAGGGTTCCGTTAGTCGTACAGGGCGCTGGTGCCGAATTCAGCTACAAGAACGGCCGGAGCGCGCCTTGACCCCTAACGCTCGTCGGCTCTCCGTGTGCGTCTGCCGCATGTCCGCGTGGCCGCGCTCGCGCCCGTCCATCCTCCACGTCGTAGCCCGTACTCGCCGCTGTTGCGCTACCAAGTCACACAAATCGCTATCAACTCACTTTCCTGTCGCTCACACGTGCACCCCTTCCCTTCCCCCTTGCCCCTATGCCCCTTCCACCCCCGTCTGCCCTCCCCGCCCTCGCCTGCCCTCCATTCTCCGCTCGACCTCTCTTTCCCACGCTTCTCGACCCGCGTGCTAGGGCAGGTGCTGGAGCAGCTGAGCGGTCAAGTGCCCGTCTTCTCCAAGGGTCAGTCTCCCTGCCTTAGCCCCACCCCCACACACGTGCTCTTTCGTCCACTCCCTCATCCCTTAGTTCCGCTCGCCCGTTTTCTCTCCCCCCCTCCCCCATCCGCTCCCTTCCCCAGACGCCGTGTTACTTTCGCTAATCGCTGTTTCCCGTGTTTGCATTGACCCATGACCCCTTGGCTTTCACCTGCCGTTGTTTGTCGCGTCCTCACCTCACTCTCAACCTCGTCTTGTCGTCTTCCACTCTCTCCTCTCCCCTCTTCTCGCCGTTCGCCCCGCGCCCCGCGCCCCTCGCCCCTCGCCCCGCGCCCCTCGCCCCTGGCCCTGCTGCAGCGCGCTACACGGTGCGGTCGTTCGGCATTCGGCGTAACGAGAAGATCGCGTGCTACGTGACAGTTCGCGGCGAGAAGGCGCTGCAGCTCATTGAGAGCGGACTCAAGGTGAGTCGGGCTGCAAGATCTCGAGGTGGGATTCGGCAAGATATGCTTTAAGATTCCAGAATGAGCTTCATTTCCGCTCTATGGATCTCCGTACGTTGTTGCAGCCTTGGTCAGTAGTGCGGATGGTCATGGCACATCATACTATCATTTAGGGTTTGCTCGTGGCAGCACAGCACGAGTCTTTTCCAGACGTCTGTGTGCCTGCTGTATCACTCTGTTGCGTTCGTTCGTGTGATACATGCATGTTAACGCTTTGGGTGCTCCTGTTCTCTCCTAAACCTCTTGTGTGGCTGGCATGGTTATTGAGAGCAGGTGAAGGAGTTTGAGTTGCTTCGCCGCAACTTCAGCGCCACTGGCTGCTTTGGGTTTGGAATTCAGGAGCACATTGACCTGGGAATCAAGTGAGTAGTGGGGAGCACATTGTGCTGGGAGTTTGAGTCTTGAGAATCGAGTGAGTATTGTGGAGCACGTTGGCATGGGAACCAAGTACATAGTAGCATATTCTGGACACCAACCCCATGTCCGTGATGCCATGTGCATTGATGCAGGTATGACCCGTCCACTGGCATTTACGGAATGGACTTCTTTGTTGTGCTCGAGCGCCCCGGCTACCGCGTGTCGCGCCGACGGCGGGCCAAGTGCCGCGTGGGCATTCAGCACCGCGTGACCAAGGAGGATGCGATGAAGTGGTTCCAAGTCAAGTACGAGGGAGTCATCCTTAACAAGGCTCATGCCCAAATCGGGATGTAAGCTACTCACTGGAGCACGCAGCATGGGCTGCGGGCAGAGTAAAGGTGGAGAAAGTGAACAAGTGTGGTCAGATGGTGCATGCTGCTGTTTTGTTGCCCACAGTTGTGCAATGAGAATACCAATTTTACTGCTGGCAATGTTACACAATAGCACAAATTATGGAATAAGCAGCCATATTAATATCTAGCTCTGGAAAATACTGGACTGGAAGTTCCTATATGCTGCTCCTTGAATTAGTGTACTGTGCAGAGCTAGCAACACTGAAACCATCATCATGACAAATTAGGCCACCAACTGTCAGAGGTAGCATGCTTCCAATTCTAGTCATCACAGCAGTTTTCGCCGTCGCACTGTCATCACCTCCTATCCATGACGTCCTTACCCTAATCCGTTTTCTGGCTGGATGCTTTACAAAGGTGATTACGATAAGCTTCTACATTATACAGGGACAATGGAGAGAGTATCATGTGTGACAGTGATCCTTGTGAAGAGCCAACTTAATATCAACATACATTGCCACAACATACATCACGCATCACACATACCAGCTCAAAAGTTTCCTAATACCCCGCGAGTAAATGACCCTACCGAAGGTGCTGATACTAATGCAGCAGTATTGGCGGAACTGACATAATTCGATACACCAGGTCTCTCTTCCCGCAGACGTCGTACATACAAATTAACAGAACGAAAATGAACGACGCGAAGTGCCACATGCCTCCTGGTCGAGAACCCTTGAAAGCTGATACTGCACCAAAGGGTTACGATGGCAGCAGCTTATGATAAGCGCCGTGCGCCTGGACACGAGTGGGCTCAGGCTCCTTATTGGATGAAAAGCAGATCTCAGCAGGCGACGTGCCTGACGACGCTCTGCGCCTGCATCATCCTCTCGAACTCGGGGAAGTCAACGAAGCCATCGCCGTCCATGTCGACGCTGCTGATCATCCGCTTGCACTCGTCCAGCGTCACGCCGCCGCCCTCGACGTTGGCCATCACGCGGAACAGCTCGTCGGCGGAGATCTGGCCGTTGTGGTCCACGTCGAACACCTGAAACACGTCCTTCAGCACCGACCGCGACACGTCGCCTCCTAGGCGCTCCGCCATGGCGTTCAGCGCTAGAAACTCCTCCAAGTTAACGCTACCGTTACCGTCGAAATCCCCTTCACGCATCATTGACGACACTACATCCTCCGACGCCGAGACGCCGATGAGGTTCAGCGCGGTGGCCAGCTCCTCCGCCGTGATGACGCCATCGCCGTCCTTGTCGATTCTCCTAAACGCATCCGTGAGCTCCTTTTTTTGGAGGTCTGTAAGGCCAGCTGAGACCATCGACTCTGAATCGTGACGCGGGCTTTTAGTCATGCCCATGGTTGTTAGACTAACAGAGGGACTGCGAAGGAAGGCGGCAACACTTGACAGATTGGTTGAATTATAAGGAAAATAAGTTGGAAGACTGAACTGAAATGCAAGGATCACTAGAGAAG